CCTTAGGTTGCGTTTTGACCACCTCTCGTCATAAACTGGAACCCTAATAAAGTTAGCACACAGATTGCTAACAGTTGTATTTCAGTTCCAAGGGGTTGGAGAGAAGCAGCGGAAATCTAGATGTGTGGTCTTGTTCTTTGTACATGTTGAGTTCCTTAAATGGATGACAGAACAAAGCTACTGCTGAAAATAACTTAATTAAAGCTAATATTCAGAGTCACTATTAGCTTTAATTGAACTTGAGACAATAGATTTTTGCTATTTACTTATGATAAACCCTACTTGGAACTAGTTTGTTCATGTGATACAGTAAAGCATAATTGGCTGCTCCCTTCTTGTTAGCGTTAGGAAGAATTATTTGAATCTTCAAATGTGTCAAAGTGTTAAGAATCTCCTTATTGCATGTTGAGAATTCTTGAGAAAGGTTCTGAAAACTGAATTTTGGATCATATCCAGGATTCATTTTTCATCCGGTTTAAATGCTGTTCATAGTTGTACACAGACATATAAAGAATGTCTATGGGCATATATTTTGACTGGACTACTGAAGCTAGCATAACTTCTTCCAGTATTTCAGTTTGCCCCAACTCTGACCTTCCTAAACTAATAAGGCAAGACTCTTAATTACAAGGAAAATATACCTAAATTCATGCTTTATTCTTTCAGTTCAATATGGAAAAGTTAGTGGTGAAATCCACTTGTGCAGCAAAATAAGGAGACAGTCCACACTTCTCTTCCAGATATTAGGAAGCTCCTTTTAATTTTCATTCTTGAACACCTGCACAAGATTACTCTAGTGATAAACAGACATTCTGGGGTAAAGAAATGTTTGAATGTCACAAAATGGCCAACTGATGTGGCATCACAAAGTACCGTTTACCTCAAAGCATGCTATTAAGATTTTCTGCCATTATCCCATAGACTGTTTCTATACTCACCATGTTTATTTTCTTTATCATTATTTATTTATATTTATTAAGAATCTTAAATACAGTAAAAGTCAAATATAAAGGAAAAAAATAGAACAGAGAAAGAAAAGAAAAAGAAAAGAAAGAGGAAGGAAGGATTATGAAATATAATAATTTTTGATCTCCTCCCTCTTAATGATTCCAGAAATCCCCTCAACCCATTATTTAATTCTCATCTTTTCAATCATTAAATTCATAAATCATAATTTCACTTTTTTTTAGCAAAAAATCCATAAAACTTTGCAGCCATTTAAAAATGTCCTTGCTGTTTTCACCCTGATTAAAAAGGTCAGTTGTGCCATTTCTGCCAGTTCCAACATTTTTACAACCTTTTTTTAAAGACAATTTTATTGATTTTCTAGTTTTATATTTAAATATTTGAAAAGCAACGTGGCAGATGAGTTGGTCAATAATTCAATAACATACAAATATCTTTAGTACAGATCACAAACTATTACATTAAATATTTCCTCTCTTTTCCCCTTGATATTTACTGTCTCATATTTAAATTAATACAATTCTTATTATGTCGATTAAATAAAAATAACTTTCTTACATTTATCAATAATTTTTAGTTTATACATATCCTAGTTATTTTAACATTCACTCTTTTTAGACAATCAATGTCCTGGTTAATTTTTCCCAATTTTTAGTTTCCCATTAATATTTAAATTTAACATTTAATATTTATAATTTCCAAGTTTTAAATAACCCCAATTCCCTTTATCACAATTCATCACAAGATCTAATGTTCAGGATACACGTCTTATCTATTTGAATTGAATTTAAATTGAATTTATTGAATTTATATACCGCCCTATCTCCCTTACGGGACTCAGGGCGGTGAACAGGCGATAATAAAAACCACGATAAATATACACAGATTTCTGTTCTAAAATCAAATTAAATAACAGGCCTGCTCTAAAAATACCCCATACAAAACCCCCACTAAAACATAATCAAACTACGCCAGGCCGGCCGCACGGAATAGATGGGCCTTCAGGGCTCGGTGAAAAAGGCGCAGGTCCGCAACTGTACGTAGGTCGGGGGGTAGGTCATTCCAGAGGGCAGGAGCTGCCACAGAGAAGGCTCTCCCCCTGGGGGTCGCCAGCCGGCATTGTCTGGCCGACGGCACCCTAAGGAGGCCCTCTCTGTGGGAGCGGACTGGTTGAAGGGAGGTGTTTGGTAGGAGGCGGTCTTGCAAATACCTAGGTCCATTGCCACGGAGCGCTTTAAAGGTTGTTACTAACACCTTGAAGCGCACCTGGAAGGCCACAGGCAGCCAGTGCAACTCGCGCAGGAGAGGTGTTACATGGGAGTATCTAGAGGCCCCCAGGATCCCCCACGTGGCCGCATTCTGAACTAGCTGGAGCCTCCAGGTGCACCTCAAGGGGAGCCCCATGTAGAGAGCATTGCAATAGTCCAGGCGGGAAACAACGAGGGCTTGAGTGACCGTGCGTAGAGCGTCACGATCCAGAAAGAGGCGCAACTGGCGTATCAGGCGAGCCTGATGAAAAGCCCCCCTGGCCACGGCTGTGATATGGTCGTCTAAAGACAGCCGAGTATCTCACCATCTTACATCAGCTGATTAATAATACAATATAATATTCTTATTTTCTGGTAATTTGCAAATAACTTAAATTTAGTAACCAAAATTTCTCTTATTTCAACATTTAATACTTTCTCTCTTTTTCTCTTAATATCTACTATCTCATATTTAAGCTAGTAATTTTTATTATTACCGCTAAGTAATATGCTCCAGATATAAAACCAGATATATCACTGGAAGGCAAAATCACAAAATTCTGCGTAACTAATTTTAGCCACGTCATGTGATCAGATTCTCTAATAAAGGCAGTTATGTGTGGAATGGCAGTAGTAGAAAAAAACCCATACAAGATTGGAATATGTGAAGAGAATTGGTCCATAGAATTGTCCATGATTAAGTGAAGAGCTTAATCATCTTTGCTGTCCGTGGAATGCGCAGTTTGAATGAGCCAATTTTCCTCCTGTCTAGTTTTTACAGCTTTCACAATTGTAGGCCGCTATGGGAAACATGATAGCATCTTTTGCAATGTTATGATTAATAATATTTGCAACTATTATTAATGAATAAAATATATTCAGTGGGCATTTGTGCTGCTAATGAAACAAGACACTGAAATAAAAATGGCTTTTTAGATTTGGTAGTCAGATTGGATTGTTTCCTTTGACACATTTGCATGGTATGTTTGCATGAAATTTAATCTTCAGATTTTTGACAGATGTTTGTTTCAGCACAAATATCTTGCCATAATTATTTTAATATTTCTGGAAAAGCTGGAGAAAATTACTTCAAATATTTTCTGTATGCAGTATTTAATGAAATGTCAAAGGAAGAAGCATGAACCTTTTTTGCCTTTTAGAAATCAAACTAGAACAAAGTTACAGGATTAAGAAATGTAGTTGAAGTAAACTTTTCTGATGAGACTATTTGTATTGTGTGTAATGGATGCTTGTTTTTCTGACCATGAGAGTTTTGCTGGTGCAANACTTCAAATATTTTCTGTATGCAGTATTTAATGAAATGTCAAAGGAAGAAGCATGAACCTTTTTTGCCTTTTAGAAATCAAACTAGAACAAAGTTACAGGATTAAGAAATGTAGTTGAAGTAAACTTTTCTGATGAGACTATTTGTATTGTGTGTAATGGATGCTTGTTTTTCTGACCATGAGAGTTTTGCTGGTGCAAAACAGTTCAATAATTAAAGCTTATCATGAAAGAGTTTTTGAAAGATTTATTGGGCCCCCTGTGCATTCATCATATCAACATTTAATATTTTGGCTGACATAGACCTTTACATTATTCAGTGTTATACTAGATGGTGTTTTTAAAAGTTTATTAAAAAAAACGGCTTTTATTTTTTTGCTTGACAAAAATTACCCATATTTTTTTTAAAAAAAATTGAAAATAACATAATTAAGGGGTTTTTTTCTGTACCGTCAAGTCAGGACTGATTCCTACCAATTACCTGGACAGGTTCTTTCTTTATTCTTGGCAAGATTTCAAAAGTGGTTTCCCATTTCCTCTTTCCTAGGGCTGAGAAAGAGTGTCTGGCTCAAAATAATTCAGCTAGCTTTGTTCCTAAGGTAGGACTAGAACTCACAGTCTCTCAGTTTCTCTCCTGGAGTCTTTAAACCGGCTCTCAACATAAGTATTACATTTCCAAAAAGGCAGCTATTGCAATTAATCACAACTAAGCAGATCTTCACTGTCTATGCTTTGACAGTGTAAATAAGCCTCTGTCTGTCTGTCTGCCTGGCTGGCTGGCTGGTAAATATAGTGCTCTCCCAATTCTACTGAGCAGCTGAATCGTAAATAGTGAAAATGTCATAGAAAATCTCAGAGAAAAGCTATGCCATGTATTAAAACAATTCTTTTGAACAACACAAAACTAGGGCTTCATAGAAGGAGTTAGCAATTCTGAAAACCAAAAGGAAAAGAATAGTCACGTTAAAACTACTGGATTAGTACTATTTTTGACTGTTGTTTGGTTATTTCCAGATGATGCCCGAAACAGGCATCAAAAGAAAATCCGAAGCAAAACTCAAAGGTTTCTTAACTTGTATGCTGCTGATGGTCTGAGGACATTGTGCATTGCAAAAAAAGTAAGCCCACCCCGCTTCCTAATGTAAACTTTCCCACCCTGTTGCCCAACATCCCAGATGATTTGACCAATGCTTAAGGACTTTTGGAGATCAAATCCAAGACATCCGGAAAGCATTTGATTCAGAAAAAAATCCTGAAGTGTATATTTCTGGGTACTTTTTTTTTTTACTGGGGGTTGGATTTATGGTCACAATCCAGCAGAACACTAGGATTGGATTAAGATCTATATATTCTGTAAATGTTTGCATTTTGCTTTTGATTTTTCCAAAAGGTGCTGAGCAATGAGGATTATTCTTGCTGGTTAAAAAGTCACATTGAAGCAGAATCTTCTATTGAAAACCGTGAAGAGTTGCTGTTCCAGTCTGCCAGCCGTATAGAGACAAATCTTCACCTGCTAGGTATCTTGGCATTAATCATTCGCTTACATACCCTCTCCCTTTCCCCGCCAGAGCTGGAATGCCACTGCGTTTACCATAAGTGCCGGTAGATGTCGGCCTTCCCTCCAGCAGGCCTGGGCAGCTGCGGAACAGAGACATGCTTGTTTCAGCATCTTGCCACCTGCTTTGCAGCTCTGTCACAGTTCTCTGCCACTGCAGAGCTGGAGAGCTTGCCACACCACCACCCAGATGCTCTCACTTCCCCCAGGAATTGCATGTCTTTGCTTATCTGACTTCCAGCCCCGTCCCATTTCTCATTCACGCTTCTCCGTCACCACATGCAGGGAAACAAAAGAAGTTTGGGGGGGAGGGAAGGTCAATCAATTAATTCCAACTTTGTGAGATCTTTTTCTTTTTGCGAGAAGTTGGAATTGATTGATTGACCTTTTTTCCCCCCACAAATTTCTTTTGAGGTGATTGATTCCACTGTAAACCACTTGTGTTACCAGACAATGTTTCCAAAATTTTCATCTAATGTCTTTTGCTTTATAAGCCTTATAAAGCACATTTTTTGCAAGATCTTGATTATTAGCATGAGATGTTTCTGATTACATTATATCTATCAACCCTAAAAATCATTTCCCTTGTCTATAGTAAGTAACAGTGACAATTAAATTATCTTTTAAATGATTTATTTCCATTTGTGCAACTGGCATTTTGTCTTTCTTTTTAACCCATATGCTTGAAGCATATTTTCTATTTTCTTTTGCTTATGTCCCAGGTGCAACTGGCGTTGAAGATCGTTTGCAGGATGGAGTCCCAGAAACCATCATAAATCTGCGCAAGGCTGGCCTTCAGATATGGGTTCTAACTGGAGATAAACAAGAAACTGCTATTAATATTGCTTATGCCTGCAAGTTATTGGATCATGAAGAGATCATTACTCTGAATGCTGATTCCATGGTACGATGACATAAAGTACATTATCATGCAATTCTAATCTGGTGAACCATAAGCAATATAGGTTTAATTCAGATATAATCAATATATTTGGTGTTATACAGCTGTGAATTGGGTGGCCATTGTCTATTATTGTGCTAAAGACTGCTTTTTTCTTTTTAATTTTAAACAAAACTGGTAAAGTGGCCATCGTATCTGATATCCTCCAAGCGTATCAAATTTCTTCACAAATTCACTTAGCAATTTAATGGCCATGCTATTCAACACATTTGGAAGGTATAGGATTGGGAAAAGCAGTCCTAAAGTATTTTGTGTACATAAGCACAACAGAAGCTAGATGACCTTGGGCCTGTCAGTTTCTCTCAGACCTAGGAAACAGGCCATAACAAACCCACATTTGAAAAACATGCTAAGAAAACTGCAGAGATATGTCCAGGCAATTTCTAGGAGTCAAAGCTGACTCAAGGACAGCACTCCCCACCCCCCAACATGAGGTGAATGACAAAGTTGTCCTTGATAGGAGTGTTAAAATTGGAGAACTTAGCAAACAGAACCCCACAGTGCAAGCCCCATCTGTTTTTTGTGGCTGTGTCATCATTGCACATGTGCTTAAAAGAAGCAGAGTTTGCATCACGATGTTCAATCCATTATCTTGTCAATATTCTATCTATCCTTCTGTCTGTCTGTCACACATGCACACATAGTACATACCACTTGTGAAACTATTTAAGAACTTCCACTAACAGAAAAAGGAGTAGTTCGGCTGTTCTTTGTGCCAGAAATTGTGTTAGTTAATTCTAATTTATAAACACATCAATGTCTTTAACAAAATGAAAGCATAATTTTAAAAACAGTGCCACAACCATCCTATCATTGCTATTGGTATATTTTACTTTCCTTATTGTTTTTCTAACTAGGAAATGTGTGCTGCAATGCTGGAACAACACTTGAATTGTGTAGAGTCTAAATTTTACAGTGAAACAACAAATAACTTTCTTCAGAAAACAAAAGGAGAGTTTACTCCCTTCTCTGTGTCGTCATCACTGAGCCAGCCCAGCCTGGGTTTAGTCATTGATGGGAGGACCCTGGCTTATGCTCTGGACAAAGGCCTGGAAGACAAATTTCTTTCATTAGCCAGAAAGTGTCGCTCTGTGCTGTGCTGCCGATCTACTCCAATTCAAAAAGGGATGGTTGTCAAACTGATCAGAGATAAACTCAAGACAATGACTTTGGCCATAGGCAAGTATCATGACTTAATGAGCATCGGTTTGCATAATCATCAGTGCAAACATTCCCTTTTATTCAGATATGAGCCCTGATTTTTATTCAAGCCAATATATTCATAAATCTTATGTTTATATTGTTTGTATTTTGTTCTTTAAGTCATGTAAATGGCTACCCTACATGATTAGATTTTTAAAGATATTTGTAAAAAGATATTAATATCTAAGTTTTTGCACTGATGCAGGTCTGAGGTATTTTAATGTGATTTCTGAAGTTTGACTGTAATTATATTTCAAAGCCATTTTAAATGTGCAAAGCATGAAAAAGTTGTGTGTTTATTATGGTCAAGGGATAAGGAAAACATGACAGAGAGACACATAATTCTGAATTGCGAGGGGGAATGACTGTTATCAAATGATAACAGATGTGTGAAATTAAATAGAGAAAATTAAATTGCATAGGACTGCCCTATTTTAATCCTCTATAGCTATTGACTGATTTGTTCTGAGGTCACCATATTTTAGTGGTCAAAGGTGTGAATATCCTCAATTCTCTTCATATAAATTAAACTTTGGTATTATACTTCTGTGGCAGATGTCATAGTGTCATGGAAGGTATGGGCTTGCTAATTTGCTAACTAGTCAGGATCTGTATTAGCAGTAGAAAGCAGTTACAGAAGGAAGAAACCAGATACTTATGACAGCAAGAGGTGTTGAAGCCTCAAACCTAATCAGCAACAGTTTATTTATCTGCTGCTTTATGCTTTTTATAATAAAAATGCTTTTTTATAATAAAAGCTGGTGCTCTATTTCTCTTTCAATGGAAGATACCATGTACAACTGAAAGGTGAAATCTTTTATCATAGCTAATAAGCTCTATGCTGTATTTCCCAGCTAACATCACTTGTACTTGGAAATGGCTGTCAAGAGAAAAAATATATATAACTTAAATAGCTCTTGAAGGCCTATGTAATTTGTGCAAAGATAATACTTATGTAAGCTTCATTCCCGGTTCAACATTAGCTAAAGAAATCAGTGCCCAGGCTAAATCCAGACATTGTCAGTTATCAGACTATTACTGCAATGCAGCTGGTTGTGAGGAAAGGACTTTATGACCTGAACTCCTTTCCTCCTTCCAGTGCAGGTAGAGACAGAAGACTTTGCATGCACAATAAAAGCACTGGAGTAAAATGGGAGCTGGGTTGCTGTTCTCTTCGCTTTCCTCTTCTCTTCCTATTTGTGGCTAGCAAAGAAAGGGAATGGATGCTTAACTTCAATAGATGGTCAACTTCTTACTCCTTTATCTTAGTTTCTAAATGTTTTGCATTGGAACCTTGGAGTCTTTATAGATTTCTAATTGTAGTATCTCATGTCATGCAGATTACTGTTTGTATACCCTTATAACTAATCAAATAGAGGAAAATTTCAAAACATTGCATTTCAATGAGTGCATCTGCTATTTTATCATTCCAATTCTGTGTTCAGAACACATAATCCTCAGCTATAGGCTCACTTTTGGAATTGGAGAAAATAAGTTTATATCAAGCATGTGCATGGTATATACTTATGCTTGGTACTGTATACCCAGTACCCAATTTGTTCTAACAAGGCAGACTTTCCTTGTTAAATCTCAAGGGAAAGTAATGGATTATATTCAGATTTATTTGGATTTGGAATAAAATAGGCATTGTCAATCTGGACTATATTGTCTCATCAGTTTCAATGGAACCATTCTAAGTATGGATAATCATGTTTGGTTTTGACATTGTTTTTCTTGGCAAAAGTAGAAAAGTGTTCTTAGGTACATGTGGGCTGTTATCTGAAAAGGAAGCAGGAATCTCAGTGTATAGTATAGCCCTGAGTATTTTTAAATGATTTCCCTTTCCCTATATGTAATTGCCATCTAATTCAGCCTTCCCACCGTGATACCTCCAAATATGTTGGACTAAAATTCCTAAGAATAAGGATTACTAAAGTGGAATATATCATATCCTGGATTTTTTTTCTGTAATCTTTGAAGCAAATATACAAGAACAGTCATTAGCAACACCCATTAATAAAAACTGCATTTTCATTTTATAAGCAGGGATCTGAAAATAATAGAAATTGATATCTGAATGAAAATAACACTCTCTTTCAAACCTGACCTTTGCAGATAAAAAAAAAAGACAGGGAAAATTGTTTTTCTGCCATTTCCACATGGAAAAATTCTTTGGGGGAGGGGTATAGAGTTTATAGCTCTGCAGGGATCTGGGTTCAGAAAGCAAAATGTGATTCATAGCACATTTGAGTATATGCATGGTATCTGTCAAGAACACCTTAAATCAAATGCATCTTTTCCCATGATGATAAACAAATAAAGCTTAAGATGTTTAGCAGATATGCACTTTTAGAACACAATACTATAATGTCATGATCAGCATTTTAGAACAACAAGAAAGGACAGAACAGCTGATCTGACAATCTATTTCCAGTGAATCCTGAGGCAGCTTATATGGGTTCTGAATGACCCTAAAAGTCCTGTGCCTTAGAAATTAGACTTCAACATTACGGGCCACAATCGTAGGCATGAGGTACATCATGAGCAGCATCCATTTTCTCTTAACACTAAGTGGATACAACATTAATTGTAAGCACACATACAAACAAAAACAGTTTATCTGTTCTGCAGGCTCTGCTTATTTTGTTCCCAGAATTAAACTAGCTGCTTTTTCAAAGTAAATCCCAACTAAACTTGCAATATTCAGCATCACCTTTCTTATCAGCATCTAGAACATATAATAGTGATTTTTCACATAATACTTCTAATTGCCCAATCACTTTATGCAAATAAGGTTTCTAAGAAATTTACTTTTGGGGCTGTTGGTTCATTCATTCTGTCTTTTGAATGGATGACAATTTTGCTATGAAGAGCAAGTGCAAACTGTATTTTATATGTCATTTAATGACTATAAATTGTTTTCAGATGATTTAACTTGGCTTCAATCCCATCTTTATAAATGGGACAGATTAGGCTTTGAAATTATAGTCTAAATACAGACATTTCATTCATGAATAGCTTATCCCACTCACAATTCTCTTGATTGTCCTTTGTATTGTTACCTGTCCTTAATAATCACTACTTCAGTTAATGACAAATAATATGTTTTCCATTTGTTACCAGGTGATGGGGCTAATGACGTCAGTATGATCCAAGTGGCTGATATTGGTGTGGGGATTTCTGGTCCAGAAGGCATGCAGGTAATTTATGTTTACTGACAAGTGCAGGGTAGAGTTAAGTCCATAGGTTTCTCTATGCCTAAATGCTAAATTGTTAGCTGCAATAGGCTGATTGAAGCAGACATTGCAAGTTTCAGAGGTCTTACATTCTGCTTCATGACTGATCAGACAGACTTGGTAAATTAAAGTAATTTACTAATTTATCTAGTAATCTGTTTTTTAGCAATCTCTTTTATACAATCAATTACATTCATCTATCTAATAAGAGAGCTTTTGCACACTGAAACATTTTTCTTCTTTAACTCCAGATTCCTTTCTAGGTTCTTGTAAAAAGTATCTCTCAACAGAACTGGAAAAGAAATATTAATTTGTATAGCTAAGAAAAAATCTAGACAGCACATGATATATGACCATAGATATCCATAGACATCCATAATTATGCTCAAATGACAAAATTTGGATCATAGCATCACAAGACAAGCTCTATACACACATACTTAGATTTTCTCATTCCATAAGGGACAGATTCAACAAGGGGATAGGAAAGATTAATGGAAGATGAAACTGTTAATAGTAGATGGCCTATTTCACAGCAATCTTCTCAGATTGGCAATTTGCTGCTGTTAAAGACTAGATAAGGTTCAATGGGATTCAAGAGGAGTCAGACCTTGCCCTCTTGTAACAACTCTAAATTGGTCCTCTTCTTGACCTGTCTTTCTGACTGGGACAGACTCTCTTTGACACTCCTGAATGCATCTACTTGATCCAGAATGCTGGAATAGATTGATCACAGCCCTAATCCATATGGGCTGTTTTTTATGTTCTATAATTTGGGAAAGTTAGAGCTATTCAGTTTTATCATTTTTAGCCCAGGACATCCAGAAATGGGTAAACAAGTCTTGTTTTCATATTCACACATTACACTCTCATGTGTAAATGTAAAATAGCAAAAATCTATAATTTACAAACATCTAGTGTGAAATGAGCTTCAGCCATAGAGATTGAACTCCCTAAATTTCTTTAGGTCAGAATATTTAGTTGACCAATCTTGACATGCTTTTTAGGCTGTTTTTTATATATTCTGCTATTTTATCCCCTTAAATAGTCCAATTTTTTATATTAATGAGTTGAATTTTTACATTTGGAAATTAAAACCCATTGATATTCTTTTTGGACTGGAGAATTGCATCCTAAGAAATACTCTCTTGCAATCTTTCTTTAAATATATGAGTGTCTTATATATGAGAATCTCAAAGAAGTCTTCTCAAAACTCTCCTCACCTTCAGGGACACACATTGTCTTGACATCCATAAAAGTTATTTTTAAGAAGTCACTGTCACTCAGACTACAATTTATTGCTTTCATAATCTATGAAATAAAAATGAATTGGTCCATTTGCACTCAAATACCTCTCTCTCCCTCCCTCCCTCCCTCCCTCCCTCCCTCCCTCTCTCTCTCTCTCTCTCTCTCTCTCTCTCTCTCTCTCCCTTAAAGATCTGAAATAGATTTATAGGGAAAAATGCACTTGATTAATTTAATAGAAATGCCAAAGAATTGTTTGACTTTTTTTTCAGAAAAAACTTCATTATTTACTTACTTACTTACTTACTTATTTACTTACTTACTTACCTATCAAATTAGGAAACTGACTATCTCACTCACAGAGGATCTATGTAGGACAAAAACTAAAGTTGAGATGGCTGATACTTAATAGGAATGAATAGTGAAAGCTTATACAGAAGTCACAATCTTTTTAAAAAAAATATGTTATTCTTTAAGAAGTCTATTCATACTCTTAAAGCAGCTGTACTTTTTTTCCTCACATGAAAGCTAAAAACAGGCTACTGTTTTTGCATTGTAGAGAAGAAATAGACTGGAACAAGGTCCAACATATTTCTTCCATATCATTTTAAACATGTGCAGCCCTAACAAAAACACCCACTTATGAATGAATGAGCCTTCTTTTGTAGACAACATTAATAAGCAAGTTAAATGACATTTTCTCTTTTTATAAACACTATCATTTGTACACCAGTAATATAAGTGGATTTATAACTGTGCCATCTACATTTTAATATGTAATTTCTATAGTTTAAAAAGCATCATCCATAAATAATGTCACTTTTAATTGTTCTTGCATTGAAGGCTGTGATGGCGAGTGACTTTGCAGTTCCAAAATTCCGATATTTAGAGAAACTCCTTCTTGTGCATGGCCACTGGTGTTACTCCCGACTTGCCAACATGGTGTTGTATTTTTTCTACAAAAATGCAGTAAGTATAATAGTTTGTGCTTATCTTTGTTCCTGTATCTTATTTCTGGATTGCAACAAGCTGAAAAGGCTGCCTGTGATGCATTCCCTTTGATCTCAATTCGTAATTACATAGCACCTCTTCAGAACCTTAAACATTCAATATGCATTCCAGTTAAGACACTTCAGAAGAATTTGAATAAGATTGCAATATCCTAGCATCAAAGACAGCCAAAACTAGATTATTTTGGTGCTCTGGAGTTTGTGCTAGTTTTCAGTAGCTGCCTAGAACAAATTCACATTGGTGGTTCTGAACTAAAACTTCCTTTAACATCCAGACTTCACATGTCCAAGAGATGTGTCCCACCATAGTCCATAAAAGCTATTCAAATGCTTTGATCTTTTTGAGAAGTGCGTAAAATCTGAATGTTAACAGCATGTCTACATTGAATAATTGTCCCAGAACACCATTCTTCTTAAAGTTATAAGATAATTTTCTGGGTATGTGAAATTATTTTATTATTAAACCCTAAGTCTTCAGAAAAAATGATTGCAGCTGAGATCAATAATATCTATTGCTTAGACTGTGCTTCAGAAAATCATTCCTATTAGTCCAATAATAACTTTATTCATGGGGAATACTGTCATATTTTACCACTTTTTAAATAATATTTCCTGTTGCAATCATATTTATGAAACTAGAAGGGGAAAGAAGCTTAGGCAAGGAAAATGGAAGTTAAAGCAGTGGGATCCATCTTATTTGTTCCATAAGATGCAAGAACCTTTAAATCTAAAAGAAGATCTTCTCCCTATTCCTGGTAAAGTTAGTCCTTTATAGTTGCTGTGGTGATTAGTGGCTAATAATTTATGGATGTCTTTCCACAGTATTTCACTTTCTTTTAGAACTTTTTTCCAATATAATGTTGTAAGTAAAGGAACATTATTAATTTTTTTAAGTGACATCAGCATTCATTAAAGAAAGGAGAGAGGGAAGGAAAGGTGGGTCAGGTTAAACCAGATTAATAAACCAATGCCATATATGTCAGGAGTTTTATTTTAACTGCTATAGTAACAGAATCTTGCAAGTCTGATTGTGCTTTCCCCCCCCCTCCTTTTACCTCTGTAAGAACTAGACAGTGTCTTTTCTGATACATTTTTTGAGTTACAGTTCTGCCCAAGATTAGGGTTTCCTTTATCTGACTGTAGCCTGGTAGTGACACTTTCTCCTATCCATCAAGGCCATTTTCTGTGATTTGCAGTGAGTCAAAGTTCTACTTGCTGTAGTAGATACTCCAATTTCAAGTGCCCAGTTCTATATCATTCTAAATGTTATAATTCCACATTATCCCTTGTTTCAAAAGTTTTTGGTATGGCAGTGCTTGTTAAAATGCACATGGCTGACATTTATAAGAATAGCAAATCCTGCTGTGTGACATGAAATCGTGCAGGAGAAACAAAATGTGTAAATTTGATAAGAATAAGATGTGCAACTTAGGAATACTTTATGGAACATAGTTGACAGATTTCAGCTTTATAGGACCCCCCATATTATTTTTAACTCTCCAATCGGCCAGAATTTATCACACCACATTTGAAAGCAAAATCAGCTTCAAAATGGGGCTTGCAACAGCAGAACCAGACAATTTGCTGCAGCAAAATTGGAATGACTCAACTGCAAATGAATACAATTATATCTTATGATCGTATGAAGCTAACCATGCACCAGGAAAATACAACAATAAAAAAATCTGAGTCAAAAACAAGCCTTTCAAGAGCTACACGATATGCATGGTTGCTTTTTGGTTAGGATGGTCTTTCTGAGCCTCATAATCTATTAGTCAATCAGTTTATATGTGTGTACTTATTATTAAAGAACCACAGATCTATACATTTCAAACTAGCTCACATGTAAATATGAATACATCACAAAATGCTGCATGATGAGAGTCAAGAGAGAAATCCTTGTTCCAAAGCCAATTGAACCAGTCAGAACCAATACTGCCCTCTTTTTTTCTATAGTTGTGTTTATTTTATTTTCCCATTTCATTACACAGAGCACCTCAATTCCATTCTAATGCATAAAATCATCAGAAAAGTGGACCAATTTGATGTGAGGCTTCACATTGCCCTTTGAAATAAACAGAATAAAACTTCAGTAAGATTTAAAATAGAAAGCTGGGGGGAGAAATAATAATAATAATAATAATAATAATAATAATAATAATAATAATAATAATAATAATAATAATAATAATAATAATAATAATAATAATAATAACAACAACAACAACAACAACGTGGCTATCAAACATCAAAAACATCTGCCAGACTATCCCACCTCCTTTACATGGCTGATCTGAAGCTGTATGGAAAAAAATCATCTGAAATAGAATCGCTGCTCAACACTGTCCGTATATATAGCCAAGATATTGCAATGGAGTTTGGCTTGGACAAATGTGCCACACTTACTATCAAACAAGGAAAAATAGTGAAAACTGAAATAATCAAGATACCCTACGAAAATAACCTTAAGAGTCTGGATGAGGAAGATTGCTACAAATACTTGGGTATCCTTCAAGCTGACAACATCAAGCACATTGAAGTCAAGAAAAAGATTAGAGGTGAATACATCAAGAGAGTGAAGAAGATCTTAAAGTCCAAACTCAATGGAGGAAATACCATAAAGGCAATCAACACCTGGGCAATTCCAGTCATTAGATACACAGCTGGAATAGTGGACTGGACTCAAGCAGAACTAAAAGCAATGGATAGGAAGACCAGAAAAATAATGACAATGNGGTAAGCTGCTGCAAGAAGATCGCACAGACTGACTACAAGCAGTGGTATGACAAAGTAGCAACAATGGTACATTGGAAGATCTGCAAGAAATATCATTTGCCTGTAAGGAAGAACTGGTGGGATCATAAAATAGAGAAAGTCATAGAAAATGATAAAATTAAACTGCTCTGGGACTTCAGAATTCAAACAGACAAGCACGTGCAACATAACACCCCGGATTTAACAATTGTCGATAAGAAAGACAAAAAAGTCTGGATAGTGGACATGGCAGTGCCTGGAGACAGCAGAATAGATGAGAAAGAACTGGAGAAGATAACAAAATACAAAGACCTACAAATAGAAATAGAAAGACTGTGGCAAAATCAAGCAAGGGTAGTACCAACAGTAATAGGTGCCTTGGGTGCAATCCCAAAACAACTGGAGCACCACTTGAACACCATTGGCATTGACAAATTCGACATTAGTAGATTGCAAAAGGCGGCCTTATTAGGAACCGCTTCCATCCTGCAACGATATCTGTAATAATATCAAACATCCACATCTGCCTATCCCAGGTACTTGGTAAGGACCTGATAGGTAGACAAAATGACAAAAGTGGTATTAATACTTCACGTGATCTAGAGACTTCCAGTGGCGAGGCTTCGCCGATGGAGGCTTTTTTCTCAGCCTCCTGCCCGGGACTGCGTCAAACCTGTCAAAACAGCGCGGATCAGCTGTTTTGCGGCTCGGAACTTTCTCCCCGGGCGAAGGGGAGAAAGTGAGTTTGGTTCGGATAGGGGTTGAGTTCCCTAGTCCCCCCAGGAATGATCCTGGGGGGATGAAGGTGTGAACTCCCCCGGAGTCCGGACCTCTTCTCCGCAGCTCGGAGTGTCTTCGCTCCTTGGAGCGAAGCTAGACGTCGCCGCCACTGCTGCTACTTTGTATCTGCTTGTGAGTAACTTTTGAACAGATGGAACCTGACAGGGGATTTTTACTTTAGTTAAATGGTGACTTTAACTCAAAGATTTTACTGGGATTTTTGTTACTTGTTATAAGTGAAAGTGAAAAGAAAATGGCCGCGGAAGCGCTGCTTCTCTCTAACAAAAGGAAAACTTTCACTTTCTTTCCGGTTGTGGAATGATGCATTTTAAAGGACTTTAAAGAATTTTTCTTAAGTCAAGCTTTTTTAAGTTTATATTTGCTGTTGTGAGTTTTAAAAAATAATTTGGTACAATGGCTTCAAAACGTACTGGAGTTTCTGCATTGCCTAAAACAGCTATTTCTTCTCCTGTTGTGCAAGTTCAACAACAAAAACCTAGATCTCCTCCACCATCACCTCCTCCTTCCATTACACTTAAAGATCTACAAGAGGCTTTAGCTAAGTCCTCATTGCAGACTGTGAAACAAACAGAAGAACTTTTGGATAAGAAATATCAGGAACTTTGTGAAAATATATCACATATCTTTCAAGGACTAGCAGTTCACATCGATCGTATAGAGGGACGGGTGGATGAATTAGTGGAGAAAATGGAGGGAACAGAGGACAGACTTGAGAAAGTAGAAGAAGGCATGGAAATTCTTCAAAATGACATGGTAATGTCACAATACAGAGAAATGGAATTTGCCCTGAGAATTAGGGGTCTTAAAGAGGACTTACAAAAGAAACTTAAGGAGGAAGTTGTTACAGCTTTGGCCCTGGTATTGAATTGCAACCCAGAGGTGATTTGTGGAGAAATAGAAAAAATCTTTAGAGTAAATTCCTGGGTTGCGTGTCAGAGAAACATACCTAGAGATGTGGTTGTTTATTTTACCACAAGAGTACGTCGTAATAAAATTATACAGCTCTTTTATCAGCAGAGATTTCAAATTGCTGCACAAGATATTATACTTTTAAAAGAAATACCTTCTAAGATTTTAAGAAGAAGAAAGGACTTTACTTTTTTGGCTCAAGAGTTAAAGAAGCGGCAGATGCCTTTTAGATGGGAGATTCCTTTGGGTATTGTGGTAAATTTTGCAGGGACCAGATACAGGTTAAATTCTGTTCAAAAAGCTAAAAAAATTTATTTGTCGGTCCTGAAAGCTGATTTGTCACCATCATCGACATCTAAAGCACAGGAAGATTTGATGGAGCAACTTGTTGTGGAATTGCCTGGGGCCATGTCATTATCTGCAGGAGATCCTCAGAATCAACAAAAGTTGGGAGTGAATTCAAAGGAGCAAAGGATGACCCGTGCTGCTTATAGG